ATGCCCAACTTTTCTGAAATTCCATATTTTGAGGTATCCCATGCGCCTTTAAACTGTTCTCCAGGCAGTAGAACTACCGTAACTCACTTGATTTTACTCCAAATTTAGTCAAACTTGTATTATTCAAATTCTTTTGTTACGGGCTTTAAAATGAGTATAATCATGACCTACTTTTTTGAAATTTCGTTTTTAGGTACCCTATGCGCCTTTAAACTTGGATTACTGTATCTGATCTATGCCGTCTCAAAAACAATCAACATTTTTTGACCGCAATGATTTTTGCGCACCATTCGTAGACACTTTTCGATCTCCAAAGTGATGTCAGTTGTTTTATTTGTGCCCCCCCCCCCCCCCTAATTTTAAGCCCCGCCCCCTTTTTGGGCATCTAGACCAATGAAACAAAGATTGGACTAGAGAATAGGGAAAATCTAGTGTAAATAGTTTAAAGAATAATCAGGTTAGATAGTTGTTTGGCGATCTGTGCCTTTAAAGACCTCTAAAAAACCTAGCGGCGTTTAAAGGATCACATGGTAGGTCGAAAATTGACAAAAATCGAAAAATTTGACACCTAGTCAAGATCATACTCATTTTGAAGCTCTTTTTAAGATAAATCGAATGAAATTAAAATTATTGAGTTTAAACAAAAATAGGGGAAGTTACGGTAGTTTTAAAGGTGCATAGGGTATGGCCTTAAAGGCGCATACAGTACCCACCAAAAAGTAGGTCATGATTATACTCATTTTGAAGCTCTTGACTTGATGGATTTAAAAATTATAGTTTAAACGCTCCAGAAATAAAATTTAGCTCTGAAATTCGAAATTCGAAATTTCAATTTTTCATTCCCGTATACATTTTTTCCTAACCGGACACTAAAACACTGATGACCTGTTTTTCTTATCTTATCAGAATTTTGTTTCATAGAGTTATAAGTACTTGTAGTTTCTGATTTACTCTTTACCCCTATTGAAAGTTTAATCTACATCATGTTATATGAAATATGATTTTTTTTTTGGAAATTTCCAAGAAAATATAGTTTTTCGCAAAAATGCATGTCTCTTGGCTGGTTTTTAAGCTAGAACATTTTCCAAAAAAAGGAAAATATATAGGAAATTTTATGAGCTACATTATTGTAGTTGGCACTTTTTGTGTAGCTAGCTTAGTTTTTGAGATATGCGCCTTTAAAGTTAGGCAATCCACCCACAGGTGGCGGTGGCGGCTTAGAGGGAAGGCTCAACTTTAAAGGCGCATGTCTCAAAAATCAAGTTAGCTAGCTAAAAATTGTTAATGTTGAAAATTTAGAGCGTAAAATTTTAAATTGTCTGTAATTTGCAAATTTAGAGTATCTAACCTGGTTTTCGAGATATGCGCTTTTAAAGTTGACCTATTCGTCGCCCCCGCTTTTTCCTTCGGCAGAATATGGGGCGCCGGATAAGCCAACTTTAAAGGCGCATAACTTCTGAAACAAACAACCTTTATTAATATTGTTAATTGTTTAACTGTAGAGCGTAAAATTTTACATATTTTCATACAGTTAAAAATTTTTGTGTAGCTAACTTGGTTTTTGAGATATGCGCCTTTAAAGTTAAGCAACCCCCAACGGTTGCGGTGGCGGCTAAGAAGAGAGGGCCAACTTTAAAGGCGCATATCTCAAAAACCAAGCTAGCTAGCTAACATCTGTTAATAATGGAAATGTAGAGCGTAAAATTTCACATATTTTCATAGTTAACAATTCTTTTATAACTAGCTTAGTTTTCGAGATATGCGCCTTTAAAAACCTCTTCTTTCTCTGCGCTTCTCGCTCAATTCCCCAAGGGGGGGGGGGGGGGGTATCATCTTCTTCTAATCATAATCTTTTCAAAATTCCAATCATCCCAACCGGTCTTTTTTCCCACGCCCCCCCATGTCTGTGTCCACATCTTCTTTTGTTTTTGGCCACTCCAAAAATGTCTGCGTCTCTTCAGAATTTCCGAAATTCCCACTTGCCAAGAATTCAGAAGACGTCCAGCAGGCGGCACGTTTTTGTGTTGAAAGTTTGATTTTTTGGAATTTAAAGATTCTAGAATTTTCTCTATAAAAAGGTATACAGATTGCTGGGTTCTAGAATTTGGAGAAAATTTCAGAAAAAAATTTTCAGGAGATTTTTCGTAGTTTTTTTGTAGCTAGAGTATGCATTCTACCGTGTACAACGCTTAATGTCACTCTGCGTACAGCTGTCGTCCTCGCCTTTATGTATGCAATCGGGCTTGCGCTTTCTCTTTGCCCGCGTGGCTCAGTCGGTAGCGGCGCCGCACCCTCAATCATCGCCTTCACAATTTCAACTCCTCGAGGGGCATCTTTGAACGGAATTTCGAGAACATTATTTTTTTCATGTCCCCCCACCTTTAAAATTTCTTTTTTGTCCCTTTTTTTGACGATGCTGTTCTTGCGTCCTTTGGGAAAGAATCGTATTTTATGATTTTTTTTTCCGATTACTGATAAGAGACTTTTTGAGAGACCGAGCGACCGAAAAAAGTTTCGTTTGAATGAAATCATTTATTTTTTTTAAATATTTGGAGCATTTCTTTTTGGAGCAAACTAAATGAGTCAGAATTAGTCATAGGGGACATGAGGTAAATAAAATAAGAACGGAAACGGATCTTTTGAAATTTCAGGGTATTTAAGTTTTTAGAAATTTCAAAATTTTCAGAAAAAAAATGTTTTTCTTTTTGGAAATTTTTTGTTGAATTCCTAAGTTTTTTGACTATTATTTTCTCTGTGATTAAGATTTTATTTTATTTTTTTCATTTAGAAAAACTATTTTTAGCTCTTAAATAAGCTAAAAATAAGCTTTCTAACTCAATTTTAAGCACAGTTATGATTCTTTGAAATTTTCTAAATTTTCAAAAAAAAACGTTTTTTTGGAGTTTTTTGAAAAATGTTTAAATCTGAATTTTTGTATGATTCTTTTGAATTTCACGTTTTTACAGCAAATTCTAATTTTTAGCTTTAAAATAAGCCAAAATTTAGTCTTCTAGCTCGATTTTGAGCCGAGTTGTGATTTTTTGAAATTTTCCAAAAAAATAATTTTTTTTTTTTTGAAATTTTTTTCAAAATTCTAAAAAACAGTTTTTTTTAATTTTAGAGCTAAAATAAGTTATCATTGTCACTGCTCTTTTTTTTTCATTTTTTCCCTCTCTCAAAAATTCGAAATTCACCAAAAAAAATCGGCTTAAAATCTGAGTCCAGCAAGCTTAAAAATTTTAAGAATCAGCAAAAAAATTTTTTCAGTTCAATTTTTCGAAAACTACAGTAATCCTTGAAAGTCTGAAAATGAGAAAGACAGTGTTTTTTCTGACTGACTCATCTAAAGTTCCTCTATTAAAAATTTTTAGATCACAAACTCGAAAAAAGTGAATGACGTAGAATTAAGTGTGTTATCACTGATATCAGTGTGATTAGAATGTCAAATCACCACTTAACTCCTCCGCGTCTTTTATAAGAATATAGGGTCGTTTTCAGTTCATTTTCAGTCATTTTTCAGACAAAAAAAATTTTCTGGTAAAAAAAATTTTTTTTTTGATAATTTTTTTTTCCAAAAAACCAGTTTTTCTTTCCGGCCAACTTGAAGTGTTATAATTTACATTTCTCGCCCTTTTCCCAATTCTATTCAGGTCATTTTTTGTAGTTCTTATGTACTTTCGAGGACTTGAAAAAAAAGTTTTCAAAACAAATTTTTTTTTCGCAAATTTCAAAATTTTTCATTTTTCATTTTTGACCTATTATGAAAACTGAAAATAGCTTAAACTTGTTTACCCCAAATGTCTCTAGATCATTTAATTTCTGATTTTTGCTAAAAATATCATATGACTCAAAAATCCTCGTGAGGTTACTCTCACCTAGGCTGTTTCATAAGGCTTAGATAGTAAAACACTTGTATCTTGGTTGGTTTTTGAGCTAGAGCATTTTTCACAAAAGGAAAATATAGGACATTTTGTGTTTTATAATTTTGTAGTTAGTCATTTTTGTGTAGCTAGCTTCGTGTTTGAGATATGCGCCTCTAAAGTTGACCCCTTCCATGCTCTCACTTCCGGAGACTAAGAGGGGAAGGCCAACTTTAAAGGTGCATATCTCAAAAAGCAAAAAAGCTAATTAAAACTTGTAACTCACTCCCCTTTGGGGCTGCGGCGCTACATGTGGGGGTCGCCTAACTTTAAAGGCGCATATCTCAAAAACTAGGCAGGCTAGAAAAATTTTGTTAATAGGAACATATGTAAAATTTTATGCTCTACATTTTGGTATCGAATTTTAATTGTGTGGCTAGCTTGGTTTCTGAGCTATGCGCCTTTAAACTTTGGCGTGCCTCTCAGCCGCCGCAGCCGCAGCTACCGGTGGGGTGGGGGGGGGGGGTCTTTAAAGGCGTATATCTCAAAAACCAAGCTAGCTAGCAAAAAAGTGTCAATTACAAAAGTGAAGCTCTATTTTTGTTGAGTATACTGTAGAAATTTCAGTTCAAATTCTGAGAATAACTATGAGAATAAGCTAGGCAACATAATCTGCCATCTTCTTTCAACTTTACACTATTTTTCCCTCTTCTTTTTACTTTCTCTTTTTGCATAAGACCTCCTTTTCTATATATATAAAGAGGTAGATCATTTTCTCTTCTTTTTTTCCTACAAGAAATCTGGTTCTTTTCTAGATAGGAAGACTATCTCATATTCCTTTCCTAAAGTTCTTAGGCCATAAATTTTTCTTTTTTTTGAATTTTCCCACATCAAAAAAATCAAATACAAAGAAGAAAAGTTCTATTTTCTTCTTCCGTTTTTTTCTTGTTTATTTGACTTCCTTCTTTTCAATCCAAAACATTTTTTCCTTCCCTTTCTTCCTTTTTTCCATTGAATTCAGTTATGTTTTCCCCCCCCCCCCCACCCTAAACAGTTTGTTAGAATTCTCCTGACGTCTTCTAGACCTTCCAGAACATTCCAAAACCTCTTAAATTCAAAATTTTCCCTCCAGCCTACAGTATGACAATGTCGAAACGTGACTCTTCCACCTCGAATCTACCAACCAATATCGAAGAAGACACTCAATCAGTGAGCTCATCGGATTCTGGCGTTTCCGCTGATTCCGATCATGGACATGGTCATAGTCATGGCCATGGACACGCCCATGACCATTCAGATGACTCGGATTCGAGTTGTGATGGCCATGAGCATAAGCACAGTCATAACGATGATAAGCATTTAAAGGTAGAATTTTGAAGCTAGTAAGTTCTTTAAAGACGCATAACTCAAAAACGAGAATAGCTATCGAGAAGTAATAAAGTACAAAAATATAGAGGATAAAATTTTACACATTTCACTTGTAAGCAACTTTTTGATAGCTACAGTAGTTTTGAAGCTATGCGCCTTTAAAGTTGGGCATTCTGGCGCCCCTAACTTCCCCTTTCCGCCACCGCCGCCGGTGGGAAGGGGGTTCGCTAACTTTAAAGGCGCATATCTCAAAAACTACAATAGCTAGCTGAAAATTGATAACTACAAAAATATGTGAAATGCAACGTTCTACATTTTTGTAGTTTACTCCTTCTTGATATCTACCGTAATTTTAGACATATGCGCATTTTAAGTTTGTCGTCACTAAACACCGTCTAGTAGAGACTACAGTGAGAGGGGAGGGCACAGAGAAACGAGACACTCTAGCTGTCTGCATCTCTAATTCTAAAACCGTCTGGTTTCACAAAACTAACAAAAGTGACCATTCTATTCGTTCCCGGAAATCCTAAATGTCAATAAATACAGACAATCATGTCAGTGTCCCCCTACGCCAGGAAGCTACGCGGTAGCAGGCGATGCTAACTTTAAAGGCGCATAGCTCAAAAACTACTGTAGCTATCAAAATTTATTTACTTTCAAAATTCAGCTGATAAAGTGCCAATCATTTCATTAGTTAGCAAATTTTTGATATCTCTCATAGGAAGCGAGATATGCGTCTTTAAAGTTAGGTAACCTTCACCGGCGGCTGAAAGGGGGGTGGGTCACCTTTAAAGGCGCATATCTCGGAAAACAAAAAAGCTAACTACAAATTGTTAACTAGTTATATATAGGATTTGTAATTTTCTACATTTTGATAGTTGAATATTTTTGTGTAGCTATCTTGGTTTTTGGGATATACTCTTTCAAAAATGGGTTGCCCATTGAGGAGAGACACGCCCAGCTGGAAGCGCGCGTTCATATTTTAAAGGCGCATATCTCCTAAACCAAGCGAGCGATCAAAAGTCTGTAAACTAATAAAATGTAAAACACCCCTTTAACTCTAAGAAAGTGTAATTTTCAGGGTCGCCGAGCAGAAAAAGTATTATGGGCTGTGGCAGGCCTCTCCGCTGTCTTCATCGCCGCAGAATTCGTGGGAGGCTTCTGGGCAGAATCCCTTGCAATTATGACAGACGCCGGACACATGCTCAGTGACTTGTTATCTTTTATCATCTCAATTTTCGCCATCAGATGTGCACGTCTTCCCCCATCCAAACGTCTCTCTTTTGGATATGAAAGAGCAGAGGTTCTAGGAGCTCTAACCTCGATTATAATTCTCTGGGTGCTAACTACCGTACTCGTAGTTGTGGCAATTCAAAGAATAGTGAATAATGAGCATGATGTGGATGCGAATATCATGTTGATCACTGCAGGAGTTGGAGTGCTCTTTAATATTATAATGGGGTTGGTCCTTCATTTTGGTACAGGAGGACATGGACATACCCACGGAGGACACTCGAATCATGGACATTCTCATGATGGAAAAAATGTTAATGTTAGAGCCGCCTTAATTCATGTGATTGGAGATTTGGTTCAATCGATTGGAGTATTGATTGCCGCCATTATCATTAAGTTCACTGGATGGACCTTGGCTGATCCCATTTGCACATTCCTCTTCTCCATTATCGTGTTATTCACCACTATTACGGTCATGAAAGACATCTTCTTTGTGCTTATGGAAGCCACGCCCACGCATTTTGATTTGAGCGATGTGAAGAAGGTTTTGGGAGGATTGGAGGGGGTTAAAGGAGTGCACGACTTGCATTTGTGGAGTATTGGAATGGATAAGACAGCGTTCTCGGTGCATTTGGCTTTGGGTTAGTTTTTTTTTTTAATTTTTGGGTTAGGCAGGTTTTTGGCTTCAAAATAAGCCTAAATTTGTTAGATTAACTTTGTTTTGAAAGGAGTTACAAAGCTTTGAAATTTGCAAAAAAATTCCAAAAAAAAAATTTTTTTTGGAATTTTTCGAAAATTTCAAACCGTTGTAACTCGGGTCAAAATTATATGATCTAGCTAAATTGTAACTTATTTTAAAGCTCAAAAGCTTGAAAACAAGATACTCAAAAATCAAAAAGATCAAAGTACTTTGAAAGGAGTTACACTAATTTGAAAATTTCAAAGCTTTCGAAAAAAAAGTTTTTTTTTGAAACTTTTTGCAAATTTCAAACTTATGTGGCTCGGCTCAGAATTGTCTGATTTACACGAATTATAATATATATTGAAGCTGAGAAGCTGAAAAACAAAATAATATAAATTTTTGCAAGCTTGGATTGTTTTGAGCGAAGTTACAGCAATTTGAAATTAGGAGTATTTTTCGAAAAAAAATTTTTTTTTTGGAATTTTTAGTCGAATTTCGAAATGTTGTAACTCGGCTCAAAAGTGTTTAAACTAAATGAATTGTATCTTATTTTAAAGCCAAAAACCTAACAAACAGGAAAAACTAAAAATCAATAATATTGAATCATTTTGGGCGGAGTAACAGTAATTTGAAAGTTTAAGATTTTCCGAAAAAAAAAAAGTTTTTTTCGAATCTTTTCGCAAATTTCAAACTTCCATAACTTTCTTCAAATTCAACCAATTTTTACAAACTTTAGCTCATTTTGACCCTCTAAATCTCTAATTTTCAAAAATACAACATTCTAAACTTCAGAATCCCCCCATCGTGCCATGGAGACCGTAGTAGAGGCCCGCTCGTTGATCCGTCGTCAGTTCGGTGTCTCAAATGTGACAATTCAAGTGGAAAAGTTCGATGCTCAAATCGAGTCATGTGATACTTGCATTCAACAAGAAACTGCTTAAAATTATCGATTTATTGATTAAAAATTCTATTTTCTGAAAAACGGGTCTCTTTTTTTTTGCAAAAAAAAATTCTGAATTATTTTTTTGTTGTATACGGGTATGGTAGTTTGTGTACTGTACTTTTTTCTAACTATTTTTAATGTTGTTCTGTATTTCGAAAATCAATAAAACAGCTTTATTTTTTTTTTTGGGTTACAAAATTTCTCAGATTTAAAAATTTTTTTAAATCATTTTCATACAAAAAAGTTTCAGCCAAAAAAGTGGGCGGGGCCAAAAATTTGTGTAAAATTTAAGACATAAAAAATTGAGATTCTTCAGGTGTATCATGTGGATAGAAAAAGTGGGCGGAGCCTAACAACTAGCGAAAGTAAAAGTGGGCGGGGTCACGAGGAGAAATTTCAGATTTTCAGACTTTTTTGGGGTCGAAAATATAAAGGGCGATAAAAAATGACTGAAATTTTCAAAATTTCTGAATTTCTGAATTTCAGAATTTCTGAATTTCTGAATTTCAGAATTTCAGAATTTCTGAATTTCTGAATTTCAGAATTTCTGAATTTCTGAATTTCTGAATTTCTGAATTTCTGAATTTCAGAATTTCTGAATTTCTGAATTTCTGAATTTCAGAATTTCTGAATTTCTGAATTTCTGAATTTCTGAATTTCTGAATTTCTGAATTTCAGAATTTCAGAATTTCAGAATTTCTGAATTTCTGAATTTCAAAATTTCAAAATTTCAGAATTTCTGAATTTCTGAATTTCTGGATTTCAAAACTACAGAATTTCTGAATTTCGGGATTTCTGAATTTCTGAATTTCAAAATTTCTGAATTTCAGAATTTCAGAATTTCAGAATTTCAGAATTTCAAAATTTCAAAATTTCTGAATTTCTGAATTTCTGAATTTCAGAATTCCATATTTTCTAAATCTCCGAATTTTCGAACTTCTGAATTTTGGAATTTTATGAAAAAATTTTCAATTTTTTGAGCTAGACACGAATCTGGTGTCCAAAATTAAGTTGACTGAAGATATAAAAAATTATGAGCAATTGAAATTTTTTAATTTAAAAAAATTTCAGCCATGAAAAATCTTAAAATTGCTCAAAGCATTCTAATTTTTCAGTTAAATCTATTTTTTTCAAAAAGAATCGAATTTTGTCCAAAAAATGCTTCAAAATGAGTATAAACACGGCTAGGCTCCGCCCATTTTGAAATTTCTCCCAGACACGCGACGCACGACCGCGACGCGTCTGAAAAATAAAAGTGGGCGGAGCCTAGTCGTGTTTGGGCGCATTTTGGAGCTCTAGATGAGCTGAATTCGAATTTGAGATTTAAAGTTGATTTGGCCCAACAGGAAAATAGTTATGAGCAAATTAATTTTGTGGGCGGAGCCTAAAAGAGTGGGCGGAGCCTAATAAACACCATTTGAATCGACACGCATCTTCATCACATGGCCATCACCCTCTCTAGCCAACCCAAAAACGCCACGTGGATCCCAAACCGGCTCACATGAGCAATCCACCGGATTGCTCATCCTACAGTAGGCGTCTGGAAGAAGTGTGTAGCGCCCAGGGAAAGGACTGGTCTTGTAGGTGACGATGACGTGGCATGGATCACTCCAAAGAAGTGATTTAAAAAGCAAATTAGCTGAAAATTTCAAAAAAAAATTTCAGCCAAAAATTTCTTTACCATTTTCAGACAAAAAAACAATTTCAGAAAAAAAATTGAACAGTTAAAATTGATTGAGATTCTTCAGGTGTGTGGGTAACCCGTGAATTGAAAAGTGGGCGGAGCCTAACTAACAACTAGCGAAAGTAAAAGTGGGCGGGGAAGTAAAAGTCACGAGAAATTTCAGATTTTCAGACTTTTTTGGGTCAAAAAATGCTGAAGATTTCAGATAAAAAATTATTTTGAATATCCTAGAAACTACAGTAATCCCGGAGAGCGATTTCTTAGAATTTTTAAACAAAAAATGGCCGAAAATTCGATTTTGGGTCAAAAATTCCAAATTTTTGACTTAAAATCGGTTTTTTCAGTCTATTTTCAGCTCGAAAAATCGCTAGGGATTACAGTAGTTTAAAAAAATGAGAACTACAGTAATCCCAGAGAGCGATTTTTTCGAATGTTTTAGGCCTAAAAATGGATGAAATTCCAAATTTTTGGCTTAAAATTGATCTTTTTCAGACATTTTCAGCCTAAAAAATCTATAAAAATCTGAAAAAAACACTCAAAATTACTGTAGATTACCGTAATTTATGAATATAAGAACTACAGTAACCCAAAAGTTCGATTAGAGCGAATTTTCCAATTGTTAGGCCAAAAATTCCGGTATTTTTGGCGATTTTCAGCCATATTCAGACAAAAGATGACTAAAATTCCGAATTATTTGACTTAAAATTCCTGATTTTCAGCCATTTTCAGCCAAAAAAATCGCTCAAAAAATCACTAGGGATTACTGTAGATTACTGTAGTTTCAAAAACAAGGAGAGATCATTTTAAAAATGAGGAGAAAACCGGGGGGACAAAAAAAGTTCTAGAGATCAAAAAGGGGGCGTGGCCTATACAAAAATATTACAAATGGGGGATCAAAGGGGGCGGAGCCTACATTGACTAGGTCAATTTTGGGGCATTTGGGATCTAGAAAATTGAAAAATGGGGCCTAGAAAATGAGTAAAAAATGAGTAGTCGATGCGGGGGAAAATTGAGATATCGATTGATCAAAGTGGGCGGAGCTTCCGTCTAGAATCGAATTTCCACTGCGGATTGCTCATTCTTCGCCGATTTTCTCGACTTTTTCGCCAATTTCTCGGATTTTTCCTCCTTTTCACACAGCTCCACTTTGGCTTTCGCCGACGATTCGTACATTTCGGCGCCTTTATGATAATGGCTCCGATTCTTGTCGAGAAATCCAACCAAATCGCGGATGCCAGTCATGATACGCTGAAAAAAGGGGCGGGGCTTAAGATTAAAAATCGCTGAGTATCGATTTTTCCAGCTATTATACGATGAAACGGTTCAGATGTTTTATCAAAAATGCTTGAAAAAATTAGTAGAAACACGGCTAGGCTCCGCCCCCCCCTTTTTTTGAGTTACTGTAGTTTTCGTGGTGGAAGACTCAAAGTGGGCGGAGCCTAGTCGTGTTTATACTCATTTTGAAGCTCTCATTGAGCTGTATATCCGAATCTGGTGACTGGAAACAATTTAGTTGATTTTTAAGAAGATTACGAACAATTCGAAAAGTGGGCGGGGCCTAAAAGTGGGCGGAGCCTAGCTGGAATAGCTCAAAATAGCTTAAAATCGATCAAAATTGCACAGGGTAACGGCTGCGTATAGGATGCTATGTGTGCCCATAATAATTCCGTGGGTAGCGCGTGCGCGCTATATGCGTCGACGCTGGGCACGACTGGTCGCCGGTGTTCGCACCCATATAGCATCCATATAGCATGCACGCTTTTCCCATGAAAGCGGCAGTTCACCAACGACACTCCGTTATTACGCTAGTGCGCGTTGTTTAGCAAAATTTTTCACCGCCGATCTTGATCAATTTTTACGATCATATCGACCATGTTTCCTGTTTTCAAAGAACTTCTCACTGTTTTCACTTGTAAAAATTATGCCCAACTAAAATACAGCCTATTTTTTGTAAAGAAATCGGTAAAATTTGTTATAAAATCTGATTTTTCTCGAAATCAGGATTTTCTGTTTTAATTCGGAATAAGCGGAATAATATATAATCTTTTCAGGCGGAATGAAGGTTGGTTGGTAAGTTTTCCTACGATGTAAAAGTAGGAAAAAAATCCGAGAAACTCGAATATATGCTGTGAGAGCATTCTGCGAAAACTGGAAAAATGGTCACTCTGTAAAATCTGAATGGGGAAAATGAAAGATATTGGAAGATCTGAACAAAATCACATCTTATTATTGTTTATTCAATAAAAC